CAGTCCTCAGGTGGGCCTCCCACACCCAGCACCACTCACTCAGTTCAGCTGGGGGTTATAAGTTGACCACCAGTTATCAATCCACTACATACTCCAACAGTAAGAAACCTGGCTCTCCTCACCACCATGAAACTGTTAATTGTTTAATTCCAGTGCCTGGGTATAACAGTTTCAGAACTGTTAACCCACATTTTTGTGGGAAACTGCATCAATTAGAGTACAGCACTATGCACAGCTCCTACTGCCTTTAGTCTTACAAAGTCTTACAAACTCACATCAGCAATTTTTCCTGGCCCCTATCCGTGAGGTTATTGCAAACATTAGTAAAAACAATTAGATTCTTTTGTCGTAGTCTGCACTCCATCCTAGAATCCTCATTCCCCTAAATTAATTTTTAAAATTGTGCACACACTAAGATTCGCTCTGGGGAGGCTGGTATGTAGTTCAGTGCTTACCTCTGTGCACAAGTCTCTGGGTTCAATCCCTAGTACTGAAAAAATTAAGAAAAAGATTCATCTTGGGGTTGAGGGTTAGTTCAGTGGTAGTGCATGTGGTTAGTATGTGCAAGCCCCAGAATTCAATCCCTAGCACCCCCTCCCATTTAGTCTGTGGTGTAAAGTTCTGTGGTTTTAACAAATGCATAGTAACCTAAGTATCCACCACTAGAAAATCATACAAAATGGCTTCATCACCCTAAAAAAATCCCTAGCGCAACCTAACCTCTCCCCACCCTAACCTCTATTTGATTCATTTTCCTAACACAGAAAGTACTTGATATTGCTTCTCATTCTATTCCCTTACATCATGTTCATATTTATAAACATATGTGATCTCACTTCAATCCTAAATGTTTCCACTTAGCAGAGGATTGAATGAAACTCAGAGTAAGTGGCTTGGTCAAGATCTCTCTAAGTGGTAGTGCTGCCACTAGAACTTGTGCCTTTTGACTCCTGCTACGATGCTCTTTCCACTGCAAGATCCTTCCTTTTCAACAGTGAGTGGGATGGTGGCGCAGTGAGATAAGAAAAGGTAGAGGTATAGTGGTAAGTGATCACTTAAGCCATATTTTATATTAACAAAGGCTTTTATACTAAAAAAAAAAAAAAAAGGGAAGAAGTGGAATTCTAGTTCTGGAAATTAGGTGAACTTGACACTTCAAAAACCCTCCTGCTAGTCAACACGCCCAAAGTGCTCAATAAATAAAAAATTTAAAACACCTTAAATACATCACTGAGCCAGCAAAAAAAAGAGAAAACCTTACAAACCAAAGGCTAGCAAAATTCCAGAGTTCAGTGAGTACTGAACCCAGTCTAATGAGTACTGATCTCCAAAAGTATGTGTATGACACATACACTACAGTGTATGACAAAAGAATGTCACAAAAATTCTTCTAAATAAACTCACTTGGTTCTACATTAGAAAATATATTTATGTAATTCACCAGACTGTCAGATTAAAGAAAAAAATCACATGATCACCTTCGGAGATACAAAGAAAACATTTGATAAAATTCGATAACCATTCATGACTAGAAATCAAATAGAACTTTTAGCAAATGTGGAATTGAAGAGAATTTCATTTACTTCATAAAAGGAAGCTTCCAAAAACCTACAATGCCATCCTTAAGGTGAAATATTAGAATTTCCTTTACAAACATGAATAAGACATGGAAGTTCATTATCAATGTTTCTACTCAATACTGTACTAGAGATCCCAGCCAGCATAATAAGAAAGGAAAGGAAAGAGGTAGAAAACAGACAAAGGGTTAAGAAGAAAGTATAGTAACAAAATTGTCACAGTGTTCTAAGGACATGAATATCTCCCAAATCTGATAAATGATTATTACTAATAATAAGGTTGTTAAGTAGGAGACCAATATTTAGAAACATAATTATACTTTTACATAATATCCAAAAAACAGTTTAAAAATCTAATTTAAAAATATACCGTTTATAGGCGGGAGAGGTGACACATACCTGTAATCCCAGGACTCTGGGATGGTAAAATCGGAGGATGGGAAGCTCAAGCCCAGGCTGTGCAATTTTGTGAGACCCTATCTCAAAAAAAAAAAAGCTGGGGATGTAGCTCAGCGGTAGAGTACTTGCTCAACATACATGTTCAATCCTCAGGACTGCAAGAAAAAAAAAGCGTATTCATTTTATGTTTCTGTGTAACCACAGCTTAGCACACAATTTAAATCAACACTCATTTATTATCTCAAAGTCCTGGTACTCAATTCCTGACATACTGTAGCCTGGCTCTCTGCTCAGGGTATCACTAGGCTGAAATCATGTCAGTCAGGGGTGCAATCTCATCTGAAACTCAGGGTCCTTTTACATTTGCAGGATTGTTAATAGAATTCGGCTCTTTGCCACTATAGGACTGTGACCTTTGGCTCCTAAAAGCTGCCTACTGTTCCATGTCACGTGGTCCTTTTCACAATGTGTGGTCCTTTTTACGACGTGACAATTTGCTTCTTCAGCAGGAGGATGTTAGTTGGGCGTGGTGGCCCACAGCTGTAATCCCAGCACTTGTGAAGTTAAGGCAGGAGGATCACCAGGAGTTCAAGGCCAGCCTGAAGTACGTGGTGAGGCCCCGTCTCAGAAAAAAAAAAAAAAAAAGAAAAAAGAACAGCATTTCTGATGTCTGCTAAAATGGGACCTTTTGTAAAAATAACCTAATCAAGGAAGCAACTATCCGTCCATCATAGTCATAGTTCCTATCCATACTCAGGGATTATATGGAAGGTGTACAGTGATGGGAAGGCGAGAGAGCAGGAATCTCGGAGATAACTACCAAAAGAGTTAACGCAGGTAAGTACCTAGGCACTGGACTCAGGCTGAACTCATACTTGTGATCCTCCTGCCTCAGCCTCTTGGGTAGCTAGGATTACAGGTGTGCACCACATATATAGCTCAGAAAACTAAGACACTCTGTAACAAGTGCAGTAAAAGGCAGGTATAATAATGTCCATAGTCACATTTTTCTGAACTTTTATGTTTCTGAGAGGAAAGAAAAAAGCCCAGCTAGTAGAAGAAAGTAGATAACTGCAGTTAATTCATACAATGAAATACTCTATACTAGTAAGTCAGTTAACTACAAGTACATTATTAAGTGTAATACTGAGGGAAAGCTGTAGAACATAGAGTATATAAATACAGTGTAATTTTACTTATTTGATGTTCAATACCATTTGGATATTTTTAAATTTTTCTTATTTCTTATTTATTTTTATAAAGAGGAAAAACGATGCATGGTGGTAGACCCCTATAATCTGAGCACTCAGGAGGGTGAGGCAGGAGGACTGCTGTGAGCTCAAGGCCAGCCTGAATTACACAGTGAAACCCTGTCTCAAACCTCCCCTGCCAAAAAGGGGTGGGGTCCAGGAAGCACAGGGCCCATAACAATTATGTTATGGCTTGTATCTAGATGTACCCCCAAACCCTACGCAGTCATATATGGAGTTTTTGGAGGTGGTTGGATCTAGAAGGTGTGAAACTAGGATTAAAGATGTGATGCTGGGATTGATTTATGGTGTGATGCTAGGATAAGAGTGCCCCACCTTGGTGTGAGTAAGAACAGGTAGCCTGGATAGAATATACGGGATAGAATGAAGGCTATTATTGTCACCACTTATCATTGCTATTTTTGCAGCTTTCTGCCTGCCATCGACTGTTTCTCCTCTGCGATGCCCCTCCCAACATGTCTATCCTGTTCCCTGATATACTCTGTAGCAAAATAGTTCCCAGAACATTATGGATAAAAATAATTATGTGTTGTATGAATGACCACCTGTCGCCTTGGTTCAAATTTGTTTTTGAACAAATGTTCAAGTTTAATAATCTGAGTATTTTACACATTTATGGCTTCTTTAAGCAGAGCATATGAACAAGCACAACACTGAATTAACTTTTGAATTTGTATTTCTTCTTCTTTGCCTTTAAAATACAATGGCTAGGAGGCTTTGTAGTCTGCAAACTTACAGACACAAAGAATGGGGAGGAGGAAGCTAATGTTTGTTTTACCACTAAAACAAAGAGAAGTCATTTTCTAATCATAAACTTTGTGTTCACGCTATTTTACCTTCAACAAATTGAAGATACCTACATTATAGATAGAACTTTGAGGGCTTTAAATTTTCTGAAAGTTATTTCTTCTTATTAATATCGTGGTTTCCTACTGATTTGAAGAATAACGGGAGACTAAATGTGTATCTATGTAAAAATATTTAGCTGCTGCTAATAGGTTCTATACAAACACTGTTTTTACAGATCATTCATTCTTTCAACATACATATGCATTAGCCACATTTTAGGCAGTATGCTACATCTCAGTTTCTGACTGGGTTAGTTAGGAAGACAGACATGGTAATTCTGAAACAGTGCTACAATTATCTGCAGAATAAGCTAGAGGCACATACAAAGCTACTAAGCTGAAGGGGTAAGGAAAAGTGTCCAAGTGCAACTGTGACATCTGGAAGAGTTTTCTGATAAATGGTCAGAGTAGGAGAGGAAAGGAGCTCCAGATAAAGAAAATCTCAAGTATACAGGTATACTGGCACGAGAAAGTGGGTAAATGTCAAAACCACAACGTCAAACATGAAGGCTGGTCAGAGGGGGAGGCTGAAAATATGGGCAAGGTGAAGATAATGGAGTGCTCTGTATATACTACACTAAAGGATTCCGATCTGTCCTATAAGGTGCCTATGTGGAACTGTAGCAATTTGTACCGGTAGCCTCAAGACTGAGATTTCCCCTGGAGAATGTTTTATTTTCAACTTGACAAAACTCTAAAGAAGGAATTTTAACAAAGGGATACTCTAGATCAACTGGATGACCACCTTTCAGTGGAGCGCTGTCACAAGACTTCAATTTGTACATTTGTGTTTACAGTGCACTGTGCATACCAGTCATCACTGGTGTACCAGTCATCACTGGTGCAGGATAATGAGAAAGAAACGGGGACTATTGCATGCGTATAATGTTGTCAAGTGAAGAGCCAAGGAAGTCATGTGGTTTCAGTAAAGACAGGGGGCACCAAGTAATCTTTCAACACTAGGGCTGATAGGCCTTCTCTAAGGGGTATGCCACGGAGGACAGAATCGATTCACTTTAGGAATTCTTTAGGTCCAGCAAAGTAGTCTCATTGGTCACAATGAATAAGTATTCATTTAATTTGCTGGTTTTATAGTTTTGCTCCACTTAACTTATAACTTTTGATTACTGTAGTTGTATAAAAGGTATAACATACTTTATATCTAGTTTTGTATTTGTACATATTGAATATACTAAAAAATTTTAACAATGGAATATCCTGGGTATTCTGATTTAAGAAATTCTGTTATGGGTGTTCAGTAGCCACTAAAAACTGTAACGTGCAAGTAAACACTCTGTGCTTCAGAAACATCACTGTGGAAGAAGTACCTGTGAGTATTACAAGCCTACTTAATAATGTGATAAAAATAGTAAGGTCTGAGATTACTCAGATGAAAAGATGGGTGTTAGGATTGCCTGTGGATGGAAAGGGGGGCATCTAGAATGACTCCCTGTGGTGATTTGATAATAACGATCATAGGTAGACACAAGAAGGGGCGAAGAGGAAGGAGAAAAGAGATGACGAGTTAGATTCAGCAATGATTTGAATTTCATTTCATCCAAAGAAACTCATTGTTTTTTCTAGGGTCTAGTTTTTCTCAATGACAGCTGCATTAATAAATGACCAAATCAACCACTGTAGCACTCAAAGCATTCCAACATATGCTGTAAGCAAGTCTTGAGAAATCAGCAAAATCCAGGTCCTGAGTGAAATGCCGCAAGGTTAAAAAGATATTTTTTTTTTGGTACCTGGAATCGAACTCAGGACCCGGAGCTTTCCAGGCAGGCCCTGCACCACTGAACTATATCTCCGGCACATATGGCTATTTTTTACTGAACAACTATGTCGACAGCACACTCACCTAGTACAGTACTGTGCTTTTTGGGCTGGCTGTCATATATGACACTTATTGTCCCTGGGCACCTAAAAACAGGAGCCAGCATGCCAAACCCACGTGGGAGATAGGAAGACAACACCCTCAAGAGACTTCAGCCAATGAAGCCTAAGGTTATTGAAAATTTAGCGTATTAGGTAGGAACTTTGAACACACAGGACCAATTAACAAAGTTTATTTATTTATTTATTTTTTGGTACCAGGAATCGAACCCACGACCTCACGCTTGAGAGGCAGGCGCTGTGCCACTGAGCTACGTTCCAGGCCCAAAAGTTTGTTATTTTAAGGGAAAGCAACTGTCGAATATCTTAGATACTTCAATAAAAATGTAAGCATTTCATATTTTATTTCCTATACGAAAAACGTAGTAATTATCTCCAGACCATCCACTGTTCCCACAGGCCACACAAAGGCGGGCCTCGGGGGGGAAAAAGTAATTCAATCCTAGTTCGGTGGGAAAGCCGGCATCTTCCACCCGTAATCCTAATGCGTACTGTACAAAGCAGTGTTTATACACCCAAAATGTTTAACAGTCAACTTCATCCCGTGTACACAGCAAAGAGGAAAGCCGCGGGGCGTACCTTTGGAAGGTCGCACTCGACACAGCGGCCCTCCGGACAACAGGCAGAGCCTCCCAGGGGAAACGGAATGGGTGGACGCGCGTCACGGTATCAAGGTGGGAAGGGCGGCAAACCGGAAGGCAGACACGCAAACGAAGCGGCACCAAGAGGTGGCAGCAGAGCGCCCCAAGGGCTCGCGGTGCGCGCGCCTCGCGCACACCCGGAAAGGCGCGCCAGCCCACGGCGCAGCCTACGCAGGACCCGAGGGGCGGGGTGGGGCTGGCTGAGGCGGGACCGGGGCAGGACCTCGCGCTCCGCGCTGCCCGATGGGAGTTGTAGTTCAGGAAGAAGCCGGAGGACAGTAGGAACTACATTTCCTGGTGAGGGGGCGGCTACGGCAGGCCACGAGGTACAGCGACATCGCAGTCTGCTGTTGGAGAGCGCCTGAGCCGCAGGCCGGGAAGGGGTCGTTGGTTCTTTCCTTCTTCCCTGCGCTCAGGGAGAGCTCGCTCGGCTTTCTTTCGCCCCGCTGCCGGGTGCCCTTTCCCCAGCATTAGTTTTCTTGAAATTCAGACGTGGCGGCTGTGAGGGGCGCGACCCCCTTCAACCCAACCAAACCTGCGACTGCCCGAGCCTCCATGGGCCCGACCCGGAAGCCCAACGTGTGCAGCCAGCTGAGTCGCCGGGCGCTGGGCTTCTTCGCCCGCGACGCAGGCGTGGTGCAGAGGACAAACCTGGGCATCCTGCGAGCGCTGGTGTGCCAGGTGACCGTCTGCCAGCCGGGGACGGAACGCAGGCAGAGGGGCGCTGGGCTGGGATGCAGGCTTTACGCTCTAGGACTCCCTTGGCGAGGGTCATAAGCGATGGGAGGGGATTAGCAAGTAGGTGTCAGTAGGGCCACCAGACGTTTTCAGTTTAAGCTTCTTATGCCTTTCTGCAGACAGTCTTTTGAAAAGTTGGGCAACCAGTTGATCCAAAACGTGCGAGCAGAGCGAGGACGACATAAAGTAATGTTTTAACGTAACATACGTGAAATTACTTTGAAAATGGTAAATCTAACCATCTAGCTTAAAATGGATGCACAGTAGAGTGTGATTTCTTTCCTAAACCGAAATTCCTTGTGTCTTTCAGGAAAGTACTAAATTTAAGAATGTTTGGACAACTCATTCCAAGTCACCTATAGCCTATGAGAGAGGAAGAATATATTTTGACAATTACCGGTGTTGTGTCAGCAGGTAACTTTTTAGTTATAATTTTTATTGTCATTTACTTGACTGTTAATCTTTAATTTTTACAGAGCAACATGACTACATTAGTACTTAGTGAAATAGGACAGTGGACAAAGTGGGTCCAAAATAAGACGAAGTGGCAAAATGCATGTAGTTTAAAAATCTTGTGAAATATGAAGTTGTAGGTTGAGGTTTGTAAAATACCATTTCAAAGCAAAATGAAATAATAAGGTAAAATGATAGACTGCTCAGAGAACTGTTTAGTTCTTTATGATACTTAAAAAATAACACAGTCAAGTAACCTGGTTACCAAATAATTAGATATTTTTTGGACAAGGGTTTTGGTTTTGAAGTGCTTGCCTTTTTTTGAGACAGGGTCTCACTAAGTAGTGAGGGCTGGCCTTAAACTCAAAATGTAGCCTCAGGCTGGCTTTGAATTTGTGGCGAGCCTCCTGCCTCATTCTCCCTTGTGCTGAGATTACAGGTATGTGTCACCACACCTGGCTGCTTGGCTTTTTCTAAAGAGAATTTTTCAAGCAAAAGCATATTTTTAGATCCAGGGTGTCTTAAATCAACCTCATCCCCAACCACTCAAGAGTGAGACTGAAGGGAAAGCCATGGTGAACCCCCACAATACCAATTATTTAGATTCAAAAACTATCAAAATTTGCTATACTTGTTTTATTCCCTTCCTGCAGTTTGTGTCTGTAAAAATTACAAGGATTTTCTTTATGCATTCCCTTCCTGCAGTTTGTGTCTCTAAAAATTACAAGGATTTTCTTTATGCATTCCCTTCCTGCAGTTTGTGTCTCTAAAAATTACAAGGATTTTCTTCATAAGACCTTTATTAGGATAGACATGCTGTACTGTTTACCATTTAAAGTATCCTGTACAGTAAGTCTTACATTCTTCCCATCACTATGGTTAATTTTGCAGCAATTTCATTGTTCCCTGTCGTAATCCCAGAAGACACATCCTGAATGCTATAATCCTGAATGTTGAAATCACAAAAGATTAAAGTAGCAATCCTAAAGATATTAACATTCTAAGTATTACAGTCTTGAAAACAAAATCTCAAAAAGTAATTCCCGTTTTAAAAAAGACTTATATAAGAGAGCTAGAAAGCCAAATTCTGGAGAAGAGATTAGTGCCTTTTTGGTTGTACACAAGATCATTTATTTCATGGATGGTGCTGGGACCCAGGAACAGAGTATTCCTAATTCGTCCCCTTTCTCTTTCATAACACTGCTTTCATTCATATTACTTATCTGTATGTTATAATCACCAAATACTATGTTGCTGTTTTTACTTTGAGCAAACTTTTTTAAATCAATAAAGGTTAAGAAAAACAAATTTTGTTTTAACTTCATTTATTCCTTCTCTAACCCTTCTCCATTCTTTATATAGAACTAATTTTCTGATGTACCATGTTTTCCTCTAGGAAAAATTTTTAATATACCTTGCAAGGCAGATCTGTGGCTAGCATAGTCTCTTAGCTTTTGTTTGAGAAATTTATATTTCTCCTTCACTTTGGAAAGATAGTTTTTCTGGTTACTGAAATTCTAAATTGGTGGGATTTTTTTCTTTTAATGCTTTAGTTATTTCACTCCATTCTCTGCTTGCTTATATGATCTCCAAAAAGAGATTCCTGATGTAATTTTTCTTTGGGGTGGTGGGATCCCGGAGATCAAGCTCAGGACCTTGCGATTGGCAGGCAGGCGCTTGTGCCACTGAGCTATGTCCCTGGCCCCTGATGTAATTTTTATCCTTGTGCCTCTGTGGATGAGGTGATTTTTTTTTTTTTCCTTCTCCACTTTTAAGATTTTTCTCTTCGTTTTTTATTTTCTCTTGTTTGAATATGACATATCTAGGCCACCTAGGGCCCTAGTATTCTCAGTTGTACTGCATCCAAGGTACAGCCCTCATTTCACCGTTGGAACCTGGGTAGAAGTGAGCCCTTTGTCTCTCTACTGCACTCACCCAGGCCTCAGCTTCAGCAACAGACACCTGGGAGCTGAATAAGCCCAAAGCTCTACCCTTCCCCCAAGTTAGCCCTCTAAGTGAAACAGCCAGGAGAGGGAGCCCTGTGCTCTTGGCTACAACAAACTGAAATAGAGTTTCCATTTTGCTGAGCTGGGAGTGGGAAGGAAGAAAACATGCTTTGGATTAAACAGCACAGACTCACACTATTTCTATTGAGCTCTGGTAGATTTTCTTGAGTAAGTGTGTCTTGACCTGACATATGTCCCCAGGACCATTTCCAGAGACATTAAATGGTTGTCCTTTTATAATTTTTACCAGTTTTGTTGAAGAGTATCCACAAAGCCTGTCATGTTAGAAGTAGAAATCTAAATGTCTTCTTATATGATCATAATGTTGCCATACCTGGAAAAATTAGTACTAATTCTTTGTTACCATTTAATTTCCTCTTCATAACCTTCCCAATTTGGAAGTACTTGCTTTAATTTAGAACAAAATTTTGAAATGAGTGGCATTGACTAGTGATGTAATGGTAAATAATTTTGGAGTTCTTTAACATGCTAAACACCCAGGGTGTTTTACCCACAGGTTAGAATCACAGATGAGGCTGCTTTCATTCTTGTGAAATTCTATTCAGTTTAAACCTTTCAATCAGAAATATCAAAGGTAAATAAAATGTCACTTTAAAAATTGTTTCTCTTTTAACAGTAGTTTAATTTTAAAGTGCCTCAGTCAAATGAAAACATCTATGCTCACCTCTCAGTAGTAATTGAGAAGTATAGTAGGACACAGTGGCACATGCCGATAGTCCCAGTTCCTGAGGAGGCTGCCACAGGAGAAATCATTTGAGACCAATATGGGCAACATAGCAACATTTTGTCTCATATATAACTGAGACTATTTGTCCCATAAAAGGTACAGTGTTCAATATTGGTAGAAGTATAAACCTTTTCAACTTTTCTAAAAGGTAATTTAGGAGTAAAAGAAACTATAGAGTGTTTTCTTTTTTGTCCATGAATTTTTATTCTAAAACAATGGAACTGTTTTTACCTGCTAATTTTCATTTCAGATATTGTGCAGAAACAGTTTTTGAACCCAGTGGAAATAGGCAGTTAAATGTTAAGGGGTAAAAAATAATAAATGTTCAGGGGTTAAAAAAGATCAATAAAATATACTTTTAGAAAACAGTGCCTAGGTAGCAAATGTCTATAAAGAAAAATTAGAAGATAATGAACCAAAATGTTAATTATTATTTTTGATTGTTGTATAATATTAAATTATTTTAATCTTATTATATTTTTCCAGTTAATATGTATATATATAATATTACAAATTCTGTGACCAGAAAAAATAATGTGCATAAAAAGAGGAAAGCACATAACAAATTATATTTTGATATTCCAAATCTTTGTATGGAGAAGTGTCTTAATCCTGAGCAATTATTGCTTACATTATTAATAAAAAATAATTTATTTTTTTCTCTTTCCCAGTGTTGCATCAGAGCCAAGAAAACTTTATGAGATGCCAAAATGTCCTAAGTCAGAAAAAATAGAGGATGCTTTATTATGGGAGTGCCCAGTGGTGAGATTTGTTTTTAAAGCATTTTTAGCCTAGAAGAACTGATTATTGTTAATATATAATTCCTGAATCTTTAGAGCAATCAAAAAGAGAACATAAGGGCCGGGGATTTAACTCAGCAGCACAGCACCTGTCTGGCAAGGGTGAGGTCATGAATTCAATTCCTGGTACCAAAAAAAGGAGACCATATCCTTGATTATCATTTTTCCTTATCTTGAAAGTCATTAATGCTATTAATATTTTTAAAAATAGAGAAGTTTCTTTAAATCTTAGGAAACATTAGAGACTGATTAAAATGTTTATAGCAATATAAACTAGTTTATAATTACATTTACAATGTGTTTAAGAAATTATTTCACTTACTATACTGAAATAATTAAGTATTTAGAGCAACAGTTATATTAAGTAGGTTGTTAAAAGTGATTTCTTAAAAAATTTTCTCCATGAATGTTATTTGGAAAACTGTAAGATAGAAATAAAATATATAATAACAAGATATATTCATTCCATTAGACCAGCATTGCCCTGGTAGTATTTTTCAAACTGCTGTTTCCTTGGGATATTAAAGATGGGTAAGTGCCAAAGGAGTTGAGAGAAATTGGGCTGTGGAAAAGTAAGTTTGGAATATTCTGAGTAGAAAAGATTAAACAAGTTGGTTTATAAATTTACTTCTCAGAGCCTTTAATACTAATACTAATTTACATAATGATTATAAATAATTTTTCCAAACTCTTGATAGAGCTTTCTTTTTGAGGACTATTTCTAAATAAGTTTCACATGTCGTTACTGTTCTAAGGAATGCATTTTAGGAAATACTACAAGAAATTAAGCACGTCTTTAGATCTGGTTGGTTTGTTCTTTAGGAAAAACAGAACCCCCAGTCGATGACCAATATTTAACCTAAAACAATTCTTAAAGGATAAGAGGCTATATTCTCAATTTTCTATTAAAGTTCTTTTTTTTTAAGGCTGATTTTACATACACTGACTTTTCTGAAACTTCTGCTTTATTTCTCATTGGATACTTAGGAATTTCCATTTTCTTCAGCTTCTTATTTTGAAGCTATCAATAACTGTTGTACTGTCAGCAATTTAAAGCTTTTTAATCCATTTTCATGGGAGTTAGGGATGGGGTAGAAAAATTGCAAATTTCTTACCTGAAAATTTTGACTACACCATCACAAAACAGCAAATTTTAGAGCAGTCTTGTGACGTCAAAGCACTTCTGTAAAAATAAAATTTCTAGTAAACTAATTCTATTCACACTTCTTTAACATTTAGACATTTTGTTCTCATTTGCAGTGAAGCAAGATTTTCCATTATGAAAAACTAAGAAGCATGTTGTATTGTTGTTAATGTACCAATGTGAAACTACCTTTAAATTAATACCCTTTTTTGAGACAGTATATGAAATATTGTGAATATGTAAAAGACAACTTTTAGTTTAGGACAGTAGTTCAATTCTCTTATATACGCTACTTCAAATGTTTATCTAATAGGCAAGTTATAAATAGTATTTTTTTTTAAACTTTAAAATCTCCGTGAAATGGGGAAATATACTTACATAAGGCATTGTGGAATAAAAATATTTATATCTTTGTTTGTGAATTAGTGTAAGACTTCTTCTGGTAGGTAAGTTAAAAAATATCACCAAGAAGTAAACAAAAAGCAAACTCTTTCTGTAAGAGAAGACACATCTTTGGGAGCATATGTGAAATAATTGTGCCCTCATTTTTTTCTGTTCACTTTTTGCCTAAGCAAATACTAACTTAATTTCAACTTTTCAGTCTCTTTTGCGGGGTGGGGGTGGGGGGGATGTTCATTTGGGGGGAAGGGTTGTTTTTGGTTGTTTTAGAGATAGAGTCTCACTGGGTAGCCCAAGCTAGCCTCAAACTCACTATGTAGCCCAGGCTGACCTCAAACTCATGATCCTTTTCCATCCTTTTCCTGAGTGCTGGGGTTCCAGCTATACACCACCATACCCAGCTCATAAAGTTCTCTATTCTTAACTTTTTTCTTACAACTGCCTTTTAAGTACACAAATCAAAGCAGATTTTTTTTGTTTCTTTTTCTCTTCCTGTATTATACTTCCACCTTGTGGTAGCTCCTCGGTGACAGGAGTGCCCACACAGCTGTCATCTGCCTTTTCTGGGCTACTCAGTGGTAACAGGTCATCTTTACAACCAGGTTCATCTTCCAGTCTTTGGCTGTCTTCATTTTGAATTGTAGCTTCTCATTTGAGGTTGGAATAGAAGCACATTAAACAATGGGGTAATTTGCATTTTGCCACACTGACTTCTATCTAAAGGAAACAAGTCCTCTAGTAAAGAAAAAAGGGTATAATATGAATGTCTGTTCTATCATATGACTTTTTCTTTCAGTAATAGGGCTTGAACCCAAGGCTATCACCCTGAGTACATCCCATTTTATTTTGAGACAGTGTCCTGCTAAGTTGCCTAGGCTGGACTTAAACTTGGAATCCTGCCTCAGCCTCCCAAGAGTTCTGGTTAATAGCTATGCTGCTATACATGATTTTTAAGAGCTGTTTTTATTATCATAGTAGCAGTATCAATACTCCTACTACAGTTATTATTGGCTAACATTTGTTGAATATGTAGTAAGTGAGAAATTATTTCAGGCGCTGTTTTAAAAGCTTTGTGTGAATAAACTCAGTAAGTTCATGATGAAAATAATAATCCAGAAGCTTTCCTTCTTTTAATTCTCTGTTTGTTTAAAATTTCTTCTTTTATAAGCTGGGTATGGTGGCATATGCCTATAATTCAGCACGTGGGAGGCTGAGGCAAGAGGATTGCTATGAGTTCGAGGTCAGCCCAAGGTACATAGTGAATACAAGGCCAGCCTGAAAGACATAGCAAGACCCTGTTTCAAAAAAAGTATTTTTGTTTACTTATTTGGCTATCTTTAAATTTAGCGATTTTGTTTGGACATTGATTACAGTATATTGTTCATGGCCAAATGTTTCATTTTTATACCTTATGTTTTTTTAGGGGGATGTACTTTCCAGTCCATCAGATTATAAATCCTCGCTCATAGCACTGACTGCTCATAATTGGCTACTTCGTATATCAGCGACTACAGGAAAAATTCTTGAAAAAATATATCTCGCCTCTTACTGCAAATTCAGGTATTAACTCTGGGTTTACTAGTTAAGAATTTGTTATAAAAATTTAAGACTTATATGTCAGGAAACTTTAAATCCGCTGCTTCAGTTTTCCAGTGCTTAGCCTTAGCTCAGTTTATAAATCTCTTCTTTTTTCCCTTGTGACTACATCAGAATATTTGAGAACAGAGACTTTCTGTCTTTTTGCTTTGATTCCTAATAAGTATCTGATCTATATGTAATAGTCGACATACATTTAAAAAAAATTTTAATACCCTGTGTTACCCTTCTACAAGTAGTGTTTTCTATATAAGGTGAACCTTACGGTAGGATTTCCTGAAGGCTAGTCTGTTTCAGTTAAATTATCTGCCTACTAGAATTCAAGAACTATTTTTGTAACTATTGGTTCTATCAGATATACATTTTTGGAGTGAATATGTATATACAATTTGTGAAAGTAATATTTTAATACTTTTATAACTTTAATTTTAAAGTAGATATTTGTTTCCTAAATTTTGAATACTCCTCGATCAAAAACAATTTTATCTGTCAACATTCTAGAAAGATTAAAATTATTTAATTCATTTATCTATTTTTTAAATAGATTGCTTTTGTAATGCAAGTAAAAAACTTTATAATGTCTTGATTTTAAGTACAAGGACCTTGACCCAAATCATTAACTTCTCCACTTTATTTTAAAAGGTACCTGAGCTGGGATACTCCTCAAGAAGTCATCACAATCAAGTCAGCTCAGAACAAATGCTCAGTATTGGCACGTCAGGTAGACATCATTAAACATTCAGTAAACCAAGAATTTGCTTCCTTAGGAACTGGTCTGTAAATTTGTTATGAAAGAACTGATCATCTTTGATTTCTGAAGCATGCTATTAAAGTTGGTAGGTAAATTATTTTTTCTGAAGTATTTTGTTAAAATGGACTCTCCACCCCTCCCTGTACATACTATAACAAGTATTTGTTTCCTCTTGGTAGAATCTCATCTTTAATATGAACTATAACTTTTTCTCACTAGTATTCTTGATTACAAAACAACTGACCACTATTCTGAGTGCTTTTCCTGCATTAATTCATTTAATCTTCAGCATAGACTTTTAAGTAGGTGTTATTGTCCCATTTCACAGATAACAAGTCTGAGACCTCCACAGGTTAAATAATTTATGCAAAGTCACCATGCTGGTAAGTGGTAGAACTTAGACTCAAGATGGTCTAGCTCCAGAGTCCCTGTTCTTACATGTTTATACCAGGTTGTCCCTTTTTGAAAGTCCTATAACTGACTGGCAGATAAAGTTTATATAAAACTCTGGGGTAACTTAGTTCCTCTGATTTTACCTTGTTTAAATAATCACATCCAGCACTCTCTTGTCAACCTTCTATGTCCTGTGGCTTGCACTTATTTGGATGGTTATCTATAAATATTTCTACTCTTCTTCTATATTCTGCCCAGTCACATTGTTCATGCCTTTATTGGAATCTGCTCACCTATTTCTTGATTTATTGAGTCTGCTAATCTAAGAAAAAGATAACTGTCTCTCTTACAAATATTTTTCTCCTTATACTCTCACTATGGTGCCATCTTTGCTTTGGTAAAAGAAAGTTCATAGAAATGAAATAGTAACAAAATAGCAAAACATTGTATGAGAATTCTCCAGATATCTTGTCTAATGTGCCTTTTTAAAACTTAAATTCCTGAAGAGTAAGTATTTAAGTCTAATTTTATATAGTGCACAAAGGTTTTTCATTTACCATCTGCTGATGATGTTAGTATGTCTTTTTAGTAGTTTTTTTATTTTAGACTATAATCTCACAATCTTTAACCAACACCTCTTTAGCTCTTGTTAGGAAATATAAATAATATCTTTCCTTTGGGCTTTAGGGACTTGGAAGGAGTCTGATTTATACCTTGAAGATCTTTTGTTAAATATATCCTTTTCAAAAGGAGAATCCTAAGGATTTTAAACATTATTTATTTATTTATTTATTTTTTTTTTCTAACTTAGTTATAGCAGGCTTTATGGTCCTGTTGAAGTAGGTCTCACTATGCTACGCTGACCCCTTTACCTACCACACATTTAAGAAATTTCCTTAAAGCTTGTACTGAAGAAATACAGCAGATTATTTTACATTTCATTATGGGAATAAATTGACTAGAACTTGTTCTTCTTGAAGCAAAGAAATTGCTCAAGATTTTACTATTGATTTTTTTTTTCTCATTTCACACAGATGTATCAGTGCAACATTATTTTCAATGATAATGACCATGACAACTACATGTGTTTTGATTGGGCTCTTTATTATTAGACACTCCAATTTATAGCACAATAGTTTGTTGCTGAAAAATGTTTACTGTCCTCTTGTAAATTTTTGTGTGCATGTATATGTGCGTATATCTGAACATTGTACTTGAAGATTTAGTGAGCATATTTTAAATGTTTGCCTTTCTTTTTAGGAGACTTTTCAACCTAAATCGGTAGATGTTTTCAGTTTGTGAAAACCTCTGTATGACCACATTCTGGGACAGATAAATATTTTCAACTTATAAAAACAGTATTTCTAAAGTACTTTGGAAAGAGCTACCTATAATATTGGTCTTTCCTTTTAGGCAGGCATCCAGCAGACTGTTTTGTTATACCTTGCAGTATTCCGAGTTCTACCCTTTTCACTTGTAGGGATTGTAGAGATCAACAAAAGGGTAAGAATTTATTTCTTACTTAATTGCAGTATTAATTTTATTGACATTAAGATTGCTGTCATTATTTAATTATTTATTAGATGTTTTGATTGGAAATGTTCAAAGACTTGGTTTATTTCATATCAAAATACATGAGAACATTTTTTTTTTTTTGGTTTTGGTTTTTTTCCTGTACTGGGAATTGAACTCACGACCTTGCACTTGCCAGGCAGGTGCTGTGCCGCTGAGCTAAGTCCCCAGCCCTGAGAACGTTTGACTTAAGAGCCCTTTACACCTTCTTCTTTGTGTATGTTTTTGTTTTGTTTTGTTTTTTGGTTTTTCTCCGGTACCAGGAACCAAACTCACGATCTTGCGCTTGCCAGGCAGGCGCTTTTACCACTGAGCTAAATCCCCAGCCCCTGTGTATGTTTTTATATCTCGCAGATGGGTAGTGTTGGAAACCTGTGGTCAATAACAAACTACTATTTTATAAAATTATGAAATGAATAAGATAGTTTTTTCAAAGGAAATATTTCCAAAGCTAATTAAAATGATCATTAAGCTGCAAAATATGTCTCATTTTAATTGCAAAGTATAGGTCTAAAATTTGCTTTATGGTATATAAACAAGGCTTATAATTAAATGTGTAACTTTTCTCCAACATTCAGTTTTGGATTTTATTGTTGGCATTTTTCTTGAATTGTGCAATAGTTACATGGGAGGAAAGAGGTGACAAATTTCAGTTGAGTAGAAGAATCAGTGGGGCTGGGGATATAGCTCAGTGTGGTACAACACTTGTCTAGAATGTGCAAGGTCCAGGTTTTGATCCTGAGCAATAAAAAAAGAACCAGTATTCTTTTATTCTGAGTGAATGGTTATTAATTGGACTGTTTTAGTCTTTAAACACCTAAAGTGTTTTAGAAGACAGGATCTTGAGGTTCTACTAATATTCACTAGCACATAAAATTAGTGAATTTAAACATTTTAATATAAGCATAATACAGTAAATAATATTAGTTATGATATATTACTCGTTTTATACCAGGCACTTCGAGTATTTTTCATTGTAATAATTAAGAAGTTAAGCAAACACCCAAATTCTGAAAATAGTAAGTGAAACGGCTAGAATTTCAACCTAGATTTCACCCTAAAGTATAAATCATGTTTTAGAATAATGTGGCTACTTTATTACAGCACTCATTGTTTTGAAATGTTTGAATTATACAACTCTTCATTTCAAAATGGGGAACAAGGATCAGTGAATTAAAAGTCATGAGCGAGTCAACATCAAAGCCAACTGTAATTATCTTTCAAAGAGATGGCAAAAAAGCACAACTTATAATTTAATCATTCTCTTTGTGCTTGTGGATTAGGTAATTGTGAATATATATGACAGTCTACAATAAGAATGAGCACTTAACGAAACCATAAATTGTTCTTGTTTATTCTTATGTACCCACAGTAATCATTTGAAGGATTTGGTTTTCATTATAGTTGGTATGATTGGGATTAAAGCACATTTTTCACTTACTATGCATAGTGAAACCACTCAGGGGCCAGGTTCCTGGGTAGTATTATGTACTTAAGACATTTATTGAGATTGTAAATCTTCACTAAGCTCTCCTGAGTAAAATAGAAACAAATTTTCATTTCATGTCTACTTTGTCTTTCATTGCTATGAATATTTGCCTATATTGGCTTTTGTTAATTATTAAAATAGACATGGAATGTTATGTATCTAAGCTATGTATAGAATTATGCATTCAGTGCATAGAACAGAAACTTTAAGGAACAATGAGCCAAAACCTTACTCAAGGCCAGCTAGGCTAAATGTCTCTTTAGGTGTTTGGTCTTTAGCATGTTTTGTTTTTATAAGGCTAAAAAAACAGTATTAGAAATAAAGAACAAGATAATAATAAAATCTGGAGATGTCTGTTTCTCTTATAATTACTTTTCTAGATCCAGTCTTTTCACCTCTAAATAGCTAAAGTTTATCGTTTTATAAACAACACCTTAGTATAAATATAAAGGATGAGTCACTGCCAGGATATGCACGGTAAGTTAAAAATTCATTTAGAATTACATGCCCTTACTATATAAACATTACAATGTTCTAGAGGAGTAAGATTTGTTAATAGATTTGTTAATAGACAGGGTCTTGCTTTGTAGTTTACCTGGTCTTGAATTCACTATGTAGCCCAGGTTGGCCTCAAACTCCTGACAATTCTGCCTCAACCTCCCAAGTGCTAGGATTACAGGCATGCACCACCACGCCCAGCTGTTAATAAATTTTGATAAAGCTATGAAGCAAATAAATCTTGGTGCATCATTTCGAGGGGGATGTGTCATACTTTCATCAGTGCTGCAGTCTGAGAATCTAGTGGCTTACTGGTCACCCCTACTAACACCCTAGTCTCAAACTACTAAATTGTAGTTAAGTTTTAACACTAGGCAGCAAGGTTGTAATGGTGACCTGAATTTTAAGCAAGAGTACAAATCATTGTGAACACTCAGAGGATTGACCTTCTGGTCTTTTCTCAGGTGATATATGCCTTTCCCCCCAGATTTTCGGGAACGTTACCGATGCTACTCTGTCTCATGGAATACTGATTGTGATGTACAGCTCAGGACTGGTCAGGCTCTATAGCTTCCAAGCCATCACTGAACAGGTAGAGGAAATTGAAATTTGCTATACTATGAATTTTGGACTTTTTTTTTAATGAAATGTTTTAGAGTAAAGTGTGTGTAGTTTTCAAATTCAGAAAACTATAGAAAGCCGAAAGACAAAGTAACCTATAAAAGAGGGTGGGGAAGATAAACAGAAGGACTTGAATAAAAACATTTTCTCTGTTTTATACATGTAAACTTTTTTTCTCCAGATAGCAAATAAATAGCTGCTAAAGCCATCGTTTTTGTTTTGTTTTGTTTTTAGTTCATGCAACAGAAACTTGACTTAGGGTGTGCATGCAGATGGGGTGGGACTGCTGGAACTGTAGGAGAGGCTCCCTTTGGCATCCCTTGTAATATTAAAATCACAGGTATGGCTCCTATATAGTACTTTTTCACCTTAAATAAGTGCATAGAAATAATTACTAATTATAATCATCCTAATGTTTTTCTCTGTAGTTATAAAGTGATTCATTTTACTTCTGTACAGCATAATCCTTGTTATTGAATAAATGTCAACAAAATTCTTTTAGCTGCTGCTTGAACCAAAGGCCTGGGGATGCTGAGCCTTGCCTGACCAGACACCTTTGGAAATACTTTGCCTTTCTGATCTTTTATATCCTTATCTGCAGAATGGGGAGTTGCAACAAATAGTGCCATCCTAGCTCCCTTATAACTTAATATTTTATATTTGGTGAAATATTTTACAATTTATGAAGGGTGTTTTTCAAGGAAAATATTATAATGCCATTTGAACATAGGTAGGACTAGAATATAGTGAGGACTTCCCAGTATGCTTACAGATTGACAAAGCACAAAAAAGAGAATTCTATATAGTAAATATGTTCTTTATTTGATTAGCTTATTATATTCAGCAGTTTATTTAGAGAAATCAACCCACTATTTAAAAATTAGTAGTATATGTTTAACCATGAATATCCAGGGTGCATCTCAGGAATTCAAGAATGGTTTAATGGTTGCAAATAGACACAAAAATCACATGAGTTAATTAGAGAAAATATACTTTATAATCCTAATATCTTTTAATTCTTAGTTCTTTAAGATAATCATTCTTAATCACATTAAAGATGTTTCCTTCTATTTCCAGCCAGCAAGCAACAGACTTTTAGGTGAAACTCTGAAGGTTTTTTTTCTGTCTTTTTGACACAGGGTCTCACTCTGCAGTTCAGGCTGGCCTTAAGCTCACTTTGTAGCCCAGGCTGGTCTTGAACTTGCAGCAATCCTCCTGCCTCAGCCTCCCGAGTGCTGGGATTACGGGTGCGTGCCACCACACCTGGCACTCTGAAGGTTTTTTAATATAGGCAGTCCGTGGTCTTCCTTTGTGACAGCGTAACTCCAGTCCCTGCCTCTCTGTTCATGTGGCCGTCTTCCCTCCATGTCATCAAGTCTTTCTCCTTAAAAGAATACTGTACCAGCTGTTGAATTCAGGGCATAGCTTTATCCAGTACTACCTCATCTTAATGTGATTGCTATGTGAAAATACCCTAATGCCAACTAAAGTCACAGTCACAGGTCCTAGAGTCAGGACTTGAGCATTTCTCTTGAGTTGGGGGGCACAGCTCAACCCGTAACAATGACCAAAGTCTAGTTGCATCATTATAGTTACATATCCGTACTTTTTGGCTCTCACGCTAAACATCTGGAAGTACAAAATTCATCACTTCATTTTCATATATTTTTGTTTATTTGTTTGTTTTGAGACAAGGTTTTGCTATATTGTCCAGGCTGGCCTTGAACTCCCTATGTAGCCCAAGTTGCCTTTGAAGTCACAGCAATCTTCTGCCTCAGCTTCCCAAATGCTGGGATTATAGGTGTGCACCACCCAGCTCATATTTTTTACTGTTCTTTTTTGTTTTATATTTCTTTCTTTTAGCTCACAGCAAACTTTCTCTTTTTTATTGTTGTTTTGTTGTTTACAGTGCTGGGACTTGAACCCTCTACCACTGAGCCACACCTCAGCCCCATGCTGAATATCCTGATTCCAATTAAAACTTTATCCTATAATACATACACAATAGTCCTACATCTTCAGTACCAGTGCTGTTACCAAAAATTAAAGCATGGACTGAAGGTTCTCTTTTTTCCTCAGTATGCAGCCCAATCAAGGTATATAGAGTAAGGTATTCAAAGGTTATTTGAAACCATTTTTCTGTAGGAGTAGATTACTAATTTGATATATATGAGTCCATTTGTTTCAGTTTGTTTTCCATTTTTGGGGTTTCCTTTTTTTTTGTTGATTTTATTTATTTATTTGTTTGTTTGTTTATTTTCAATCCGGGGATTGAACATAGGGCCTTGGGCATACTAGGCAAATGCCACTAAGTTACATCCCTAGCCCATAATTTTATTCTTACAGTTACAAAATGTATGTATAGGGGCTGGGGATTTAGCTCAGCGGCAAAGCGCCTGCCTGGCAAGTGCAAGGTCGTGAGTTTGGTTCCCGTTACCGGAGAAAAACCAAAAAAAAAAAAAAAAAATGTATGTATAGTTGAAAGGTCAAAACTACATGAAAAGTTACATTCAGAAACTTTGCTTCCAAGCCATCCTCTTTCATCCTGTTACTACTTTCCTCCCTTACCTCACATCTGCCCTCAAAAGTAATGATTTTTTTTGTTTCTGGTTTATCCTTCTCTTTGTTTCTTTTTGCAAATACTTACTTTAAATATTGCCTCCTTTCCTACACCATGAATATACTCTGTTCTGTACCTTGTATTTTTGCTTATCATGTATCTAAATTTTTAAACATTTATATGACTAAGTGTGCTTTACATATAGAAATTATAGAAAATTGTCATGTCCTTTCTTTTCCTATTTTATTTTTATTTTTTGTTTCTTTTTTTTTTTTTGAGCCAAGGTCTCATGATGTAGTGCAGGCTGGCTTCGAATTCACTATGTAACCCAGAAGGCTTAAATTCACAGCAATCTTCCTGCCTCAGCCTCCTGAGTACTGTGATTTCAGGCATGCACAACCATGCTTGACTCCTCCCTTCTTTTATAAACAATCATTTTGTACACTGTGTTAAAAAATCTCCTTTGAAGTATTATTGTTTCTTTCACAGTTTGACTCAAAAGTATTCTGAGTATTAATCGGTTTTTTATTTGTAGTTCCTCTCTCTGCAGTCTAGACAGTACAACCTCCTCTTACTGGCTCTTGTTTCACACTGCCTGCTGACATCCTTGTAAAGATCCTTGCTTTCTAGAAACAACAGGGTAGTATAGACCCATCCAAAACTTGTCTTACCTCATGGCATGAAATCACCTCCTTTCTGAGATCTTGTAGCCCTTTTTGAGAATAGCATTACCAGTCAAAATTTGGGCCCTTGGAAGATTAACAGCCAATCACAGTTGTGCACAGAGACCTGCTAAGTCTTTCAGGCCATTTTTAGCAACTGCTGGGAAAATATTTCTTTTTAAATACATGTATTTGGATTGATTTTTTTCTGTTTAGAATTTTTATTTCATATTCTCTAAAACATACCTAATTAAATTTTAATTCCAAATTAAAACCATAGTTGTGTTTTTCCTATTTTATGACTCTTCCTTATCCACCACCATTTGATAGTCAGTATACTATCACATATGAAATTTATGATCTATTGACTCATGCCTTTATACATTTTTATATTGGGATATTCATATTTTTCTTATTACTGAAAAGGACCTCTGTATATGGGTGATATTACCCTTTTCTTAAAAGGTTAAAAAACCACTATAAGTAATATATAGTCCTTATCAAGGCCCAACAAAACACACACTTCTATGTATAACATGTGACTCTTGTAAGAATAGTCTTCCTAACACAAGCCACTTTACTAGAATGAAAAGATTACTCTGCAGAATTGGTAGTGGCCTCATCAAACAAGCTCTCAAATTAGAGAGATAAACTGTCATATATTAGCCCCTTGCTCAATTAGACCATGTAGTGTTTCCATAGATTGCTCAAAAGGAATTCTAGTCTTCTAAAGCTGTGGTACCTTTCACTTACACATTTAAGAGTAGATTATACTCTTTAAAGTTGTGATCAAAGAGTAAGACTAAAAAGCACCAACAAAATTCTCTTTTATGGTGTCTCCAAAAGAGACTGACTAAATCTATCTGAACCACCTAAAAGTTAACTTGTCTGATGATGATAATAGTAGCAGTATTGACTACCCTTTAATAAAGTCTTTCTTGGGACAGGGCCTATCCTAAATGGTTACATTCATTATGACTAATGTTGCATTTACACTGGAAATCTTATGCAAGACAAATCTTGTAAAGGTTGCTGCATATGCCTGTTAACCTTGGATATGGAAGATCTTCTCATATGTGAAGGAATTATTAGATTTAATTACCTGCTAGGATTGTCATGGGAATTGGAAATAGTCACTAGCTCAGAATCTTACAGATAGCAGGTGGTCAGTAAATGGCAGCATTCATTAAGTGTACTTTGTCCTTTTTTTTTTTCCCATCATAAGAACCTTCATCTTTTTCCCCATCATAAGCACCATTTTTTTTTTCCCCATCATAAGCACCTTCATCTTTTATCTCTATTCATCTGCAGGCCACACATGCCCCAAAAAATAGATGTCTAGAAAGCTGCCTAACATTTGTTTCCTACTAGTTTTCTCTTTTCTTAGCAATAAACCTCTTCCTGATTGCATTTTGTTTTCTTCAACTTAGTAATTTTTCATAGTGGAAGTTCATGGATGATGCATGCAAAGAAAGGTTGAATTTAGTTAATGAATGGTCTAGAACAGAGAAACTAATAACTGCCTTCTGCTCATCTCTACAGATTCGCCACCCTTGCTCTTTGAGGTATCATCCCTGGAAAATGCTTTTCAGATTGGAGGCCATCCTTGGCACTACATCATCACGCCCAATAAGAAGAAACAGAAAGGAGTTTTCCATATTTGTGCCCTGAAGGATAATTCCTTGGTAAATCATTAAGCAATCAGACTTCTTAGTAGTAGATTTGTACCAGAAATTCCCTGTTCTCTACTCTTCTAATAGTAATACATTCCTAAGAAGTACTTTATTATTCATTTGTTTTAATAATTTGCAAGAATATAGAGAAATACATATGTGTGTCACACAATATTTAAAACTATTCACATTTGAAAATTCTTAGGGCACCAGTAATTTTTTCTACCTTACTAATCTCTAAGGGATCCCACATGAAACTTCTCTCAGCCTCCACAATGGGGATTATTGATGGAATATGTTCATGTTGCCTCTGAAATCACTGTGGAATGTTGTTGGTTCTGCTTCTGCATGGTTTGGTGCTGTGTGCTTTCCAGAGCAGAACCAGATGGAACCTTGGAGGTCATAGTATAGGTACTGGTGAGTTTTCAAGGATATTCTTAAACTGCAAGTGCTTGCCGAAAAATGTGGTGTGTGTTGAAGTAAAATATATTGCAGTAAAAGATACACTGCCAGTAGTCCACCTCAGAATACTCTCCCTTGCTTCTAACACAGTTTTCCCATCCTTGTTGGTACTTTCTGAAGAAGTTATGGAAGGCCTTTTTTGTTAGTCTTTTTATGATGTGTGATAAAAAATGCAGGGAATGCTGCTGCTGAGTGCCATCCAATGGAAAGACAGATTTAAAAAACATTACAGTGTGTCTTCATGCACCTTATTTGCCAAATCTAGCACTGTGCAACCGCTAGCTCTTCCCCAAAGTCAGAATGACCATGAAAAGTAAACATTCTGAATGAATGCAGGGAATCAAGGCAGCCATAGCAGCACAACTAGAGAGATTCATGAAAAAGGTCTTCCAGAACTGCTTCAGAAAGTAGCAAGAACAGTGGGGTAAGTGTTTGATGCTTGGGGGAGTATTTTGAGGTAGATTACTGGCAATGTATCTCTTACTGTAATATATTTTTTAGAATTTAAACATTTACCTTATTTTCTTCAACCATACATTTATGGCAGAGAAATAGTACATGGTAAAACCATAGCTATTCCTACCTCTTGAATTCATATTTCTTTTAAAACATGCTTAGGAATTGATTTGCCATTTAATAAACCTTTATCCAGAGCCCGCCATATGCCAGACATAGCTGGCGGTACATTTTCTTCCCTGAGTTGCTTATAATCTCAGGAGAAAGCAAACATGTGGTTCCAGTTTTGTTTTATATTCCTGATTTAATTTAGTGTTGTTTTGTTTTGTTTTGTTTTTGCACTAACGTCTTGCAGTGAAATTCAGGCTGGCCTTGAACTCACTATTTACCCCAGGCTGACCTCAGACTCACGGTGATGCCCTTGCCTCGGCCTTCAGAGTGGTGGGATTTCAGGTGTGCACCACCATGCCTGGCTGATGTTGCTTTTTTAAAGGCTGACTCACATATTCCATATCGACCTCTTCCAGGACCAAGTACAGTCAGTCACTTTTGGCTCCAGTGCCTTTTAGACTCACGGGTTCCTTTTCACCATGTTGAAGCTGAGCAGCTTTGTCTTTTTCCTTTGATGTCATGGCCACTCGGCAAATTACGCCTGGTGCATTCTACATCACTTTTGTGGCATCATTGTTTACTTTCTTTTATTTATCATTTCTCAGCTTCTATTTGGTAGCTATTGACAGCTTCTCGATAATCTTTTGTGTAAGACCCTCTGAAGCCTCTTTCTGGAAGTGATTGTTTACTTCCCAATCAGGATGTCCTCCAGCCACCAGAACCTGCCACATCTCTTTTTCACTTAATTTATGCATCTGATCGTACTGCACACAGTTTACATTCTAGACATTGAGCACATACTCTTCTTATATAAGAACCGATAACACATGTTCTTTCATATATATCTGTATGGATACACATACTATATATGTATATGTATGTATATATGCACATAAATAATGGCGTTCAACATCTGTGTCAAACATACTTATCATGCATTCTCCTATTATAACCAATTATAACATATTCATAAATAATTGCCAAATTCCAGAGGTTTTTAATCTTCCTGTTGGCAAGTTTTATTGCAGTGACGTTGCCTTAATGATGCCTACGCTTATTACCTTACTACCCATCAGAAAAGTTGATAACCCCAAAACATATGCAGCCAAATTTAAGATGACAGAAAATGTCTTACAGCTTTCAGTATTACACTGAGCTTTAAATCTAGCATTTGAGCAAATAATTAAAAACTATAGGAGCTGATAATAAAGCTCCCTACTATTTAACACAGAGATATTCTCGTATGTTATACTTAGATAATAAAGAGAACACTTTAATAAAGAGAACACTTTGCTGAAGAAAGTATGTACAGGGCCGAGGATATAGCTCAGTGGCATAAGCACCTGCCTGGCAAGCACAAGGTCCTGAGTTCAGTTCTCGGTACCTGAAAAAAAAGAGAAAGTATGTACATACATGTTTTATATTAAACAAAAGGACATCTGGAGCTAATACCATCAAGGATATGTTTATTTTAATTGTTGGAACCAAGATGTTTAAATGCATTCATTTTCTTATGTATAATGTGAAATAATGCAACCATTTCTGTTAGAAATAATATACTTGTAAAAATTAATGAAAAATTGAAACTCATTCACTAATTTGATTCATAAAATGTGTTAAATTTCAAAAATTTTAAGTGCTTTGGCGTACAAAGCAGGTACAACATATCCTTAGCTTACATCTCCAGCCTCATGCCTGTGTACTGTACTTCTCAATTTAATTTTAGGTATTACTTATGTTTATGTATATACATGCTATATGGATTAAACTGTTGTGCTTTTGTTCTTTGTTTTCTGTGCTGTTTCTCACTATTTTATGTTTATCTGTTGTGACTTGGGTTAAGCTTTTTTTGCTTCCTGAAATTCTGTTCATCTGGATTGATTTCTTGATGATGTCCTGTTTAGGCCCAATTACTTCATTTTCTATACGGCATTATTATTTTCTGTTTATGTCTCTGACCTCCCCCCAAGCGATAAACATCTTGATGTTTAATTCATGTCAGGTACAAATGCTTAGTATGATACCTAGAACGTTGTAGCCTATCAATATATGCTAATAAAATTAATAAACTCCAATGTTTCAAAGCTTTTATGAATATCTTAATAGGAAAAATGGTATCATTTCACTTTATATTAGAGAAATTAAAGAAATTAAATGACTCAAATAAAGCCATTGAAGTTCTGTATCCATCCCAGTTTTAGTTTCCAGTGTTCGTGTATACATACAAGGTGGAACATTTGTGTGCATATGTGATCACATACAAGGGTTTTTTCTTTATTTTAATGTCTAAATATAGGACAATGAAGTAAATTTCATTTTTCTGAAATGCTAACAATATTAGACCATTTCCTCAGATACGAGAGCGAGGTTTGTTTTGTTTTCATTTTTTGAGACAGGGTCTTGCTGTGTTGCCCAGGCTGCACTCCAACTTTAGGGCTCAAGTACTCTTCCTGCCTTAGCCTCCTGAGTAGTTGGGACTATAGGCATGCACCACCATGCCTGGCTAGATGTAAGAGTTTAATATTTTACTTAACCAAGATTATGTGACCTATGACAGAGATTTTAGGTTGGTTACGTGTTTATTTGTATTACCCACTGTTCTGACAGGGAATGGGTAGGATGGGAAGAAAGGAGGAAGCTGTGAGGAACTGCATGTACATAAGTAGGGCAGAATAACATAATGGAACCTCCATGGACTTTGGAGTCAGATCTTCTGTTCAGTAGGTACAAAACACTGGACAAATGATTTATTTTCTTCATGTGTCAGTTTCTTTAGCCATAAAGTGAGGTTAATAGCTGCTTTGGGAATGATTAAGATCAAATGAATCAGTGACCATAAAGGATCAAATATAGTCCATGACACAAAGTTTGTGCTGTCAAATATGATAACAGCCTATTATTTATATTGTATAACCTGTGGTACGAATAAATCTATGAAATTTTTTTTTGGTACTGGAAATGGAACTCAGGACCTTGTGCTTGCCAGGCAGGCGCTTGTGCCGCTGAGCTATATCCCCAGCCCAAATCTATGAAATTTCTAAATTTATATGCTTTTACTTTCTCAAGTTTGAATGTCATAATTGAGCCCTCCCGTATATCCCCATTCAACTGATTAGTAATTTCGCTTTCCTGTACTTTTGTGTTATGATGCATCCCTGATGTTATATTTGAAAAAAAAAATTACATTTTCTCCTATTCTTTATCTTAATTTTTTTTTCCAACTTTAGGCAAAAAATGGGATCCAAGAAATGGACTGTTGTTCTTTAGAATCTGACTGGATCTATTTCCATCCTGATGCTTCTGGTAGAATAATACATGTTGGCCCAAACCAAATCAAGTGAGTAATTCTATTAGCACTTCAAAGTTAAAAACAGCTTTTGGTAGCATTTATTGCCTTCATTGTTGCCAGCTAACTATTGAGCCAATTATGGAAATAATTAGCTTATTGTAGAGCACTTCTTACTCATCGTACTGTTTATAGGTATGATATTTGAGCGTATTCTTTGATGGATGATACATGAGTAAAAGGGAATTACAGAACAGCCCTTCCTCATTGGGTCCTAATTCTCTAGGATTATTAAGAAAGGAGATGGTTTGTCTTTTTCCTGAAAGTCAACCTTAACACAAAACATGCAGTGGATTGATTTTTGTTTTACTTCGCTTGCTTTTAAGACCTGCATATCTCCCACCAGGTAATCTTTTCTTCCTTGAAATGTTTGTCATTTGGTTTCCATAACATCACAGTTCTCCTGTTTTCTTCTCTCTTTTATCTGTCTTTTTTAGTAGTCTTTCATGCTGTTCCTGCTCTTCACAGACTTTCTAATTGTTGGATATCCTAAGTCAGTGATGGTGAACCTGTTAGAGCTTTCAGTAATAATAAACAGCTCGCTGCAGCATGTGTGCCATAGGTTTGCCGCCACTGTCCTAAGCACTTTGCCCTTTTCTTCTTACTTGGTATTCTCTGTTTATTTATTTGGCTTCAGAATCTGCGTACAGCAAAAATTCCAACATTTATGTATTAGCCCAAACCTCATCTAAACTCATGCCAGAAAACTGGAATCATTCTTGATACCTTACTTTCTTGTGTCTTAAGTCTTAATCAGTAGCCTTTTTTTTTTTGTGGTAGTACTAGGATTGAACCCAGGTCCTTTGCACTGATCTGTATCCCCAGCCCCTTTTTTATTTTTCATTTTGAAAGAGATTCTCACTAAGTTTCCCAGGTTAGACTCAAGCTTGCAGTCCTCCTGCCTCAGCCTTCCAGAGTGCTGGGATTATAGGCATGTACCACCACACCCAGCATCCCCTGTCCTTCACATATAACTATCTGTCTTATCAATACAGTTTATTTTATTTCTAAATATTTAAGCCTGCCTATTTCTGCTCTTGGCCACTCTCCTCATTTTGGTTAGTCAGCTATCATCACTAGCCTAGGCCACAGTAATAGCTTACTTAAAGGCTTCCAGAATCCACTCTTGCTCTCTCTCTTTTCTTTTCAGCAGTGAGAATGATTTTTAATAGCATGAAAAAGTATGAAAAGTAAGTGAATTTTTCTTTAACCTTATTTATGGCTTTTTGCTGTCGAAGGTGAAGACCTACAGAGTTAGCAGAATCTGAAAGACCTTCCTCCCACTCAGTTAAAGACCTGCTCCCTCTGTTTGGAGTTTATCATCCCTGTTCTCCTGTCTACTTTCCACTTAGAGTTTATACTCACTTTTCTAGAGACTTTCTTTGATATTCTTGTTAGATATATGTGCCTACCATATTTTTAATGTACCCACAGTGTGATCTTGCTCTGTAGCACATAGAGCAGTTTTAATTAATTGGCCATAATGACAGGGAGAGTATGTTTTGCTGGTTCCTGTACCCTAAGACTGAGCACAGTGCTTGACACCAAATAGATGCTTAGTATGTATTTGTTGAAAAAAAAAGCAATATCTGCTTTCTTTACTCTTTATGTTTCTTAATAATCAGTTTACCTCTCTTCATCTATTATAAGAAGGATGAAAGTACTTAATGGAATGTTTATTAACTTTTACAAAATACCTTAAACTAAGGTTCAGCTTCAGTAAACCTTACTTACAATGTTTATTACCACCCAACTTTTTAATATTTGTTACCACCCATATTAATTTGACTTTAAGAAAATAAGGTCCACAAAGAGTATATGTCCTTTTGCCAGATTTTTTTTTTTTTTTTTGGTTTTTCTCCGGTACCGGGAACCGAACTCACGACCTTGCGCTTGCCAGGCAGGCACTTTTGCCGCTGAGCTAAATCCCCACCCCCCAAAGAAATTTGCTTTTGGTTTTGGATTTTTTTTTTTTTTGGTTTTTCTCTGGTACCGGGAACCGAACTCACGACCTTGCGCTTGCCAGGCAGGCGCTTTTGCTGCTGAGCTAAATCCCCAGCCCCCTTTTGCCAGATTTTAGAAGATCGGCACTTTTAAATATTGCAGCGATTAAAATAACTAGTTGAGTAATTTAAATTTGATGTGTTTTGTCTCTGGCAACTCTGAGTCATCTAGCTATCCCTGGCCACGGTAGCTGTTTCTGTTTTGTCTTTTCTCTTCTTTTTTTTTCCTTCTCTCTTTCTCATCTCTTCCCCTCCCCTCCCCTCCTTTCCCCTCCCCTCCTTCCCCTCCCCTCTCCTCCCCTCCCCTTGCCTTCTCCTTTTTTTTGTCAGTAGTGGGCATTGAGGCAGTCTTCCTAAGTTGCCCAGGCTGGCCTCAAACTTGAAGTCCCACCTTGGCCTCTTGAGTAGCTAAGATTAGAGGTGTGTACCACTATGCATAGCTAGCCCACCTGTTCTTTTTGCATGCATGTGGGACCTCAAACTTTGAAAACATTGTGCTTTGGAAGCTTGTTATTGATGTGAACAGATTTGTGTAGGTGGTGAGCAAGTTATTTTATTTTCTCTTGCTTAATAAAGCTTGATGCATGAAGACCTTTGCAATCATACAACCCAAAACTTCAATTATAACTATTTCCAAGAAAAGACAAATGTATTGTCAATTCAGCTTTTAAGTATTACTCTATCATGAAAACTCTTAGTTTACATTTACTTGCTGCTGCAGTCTCTCTTGGAGTTAACTTTAGGTGTTGTTTGTAGACATCTCATTCTGTCTTTAGAAATACGAATGCAGATACCTGCCATACTGCCATGTTAGAAATCCATTATGGGGGTGCTGGGGATTTAGCTCAGCGGCAGAGCGCCTGCCTGGCAAATGCAAGGTCGTGAGTTCGGTTCCTGGTACCGGAGAAAAACCAAAAAAAAAAAAAAGAAGAAATCCATTATGGGGCAGAGATGAGTTCTTCAGCACAGTTTTCATTAAGCCCATTTGGAAGGTGAGACCTGAGCAGAGTGCCTCATTCCTGCATTGCCTACTTTACTTCCACTTGTCACAGTTGCTACATTTTTCTTTTTTAACAAAATCTCTCGGGTTTGCAAGGGTTTGCAGACATTTAATGATCAGGCATTGGTTTTGCAGACTAATCAGAAAATGTTGTTACTGTAATTTTCATGGTTCAGTTTAATTTTGGCAGTTCAACTTTGGCACTTCGATAATGTTTTGAGGTCTTAGATTCTTAGAATTCTTTTTTTCTTTTCAGAATTTTAAAGCTAAATGAAATAGAAAATAATAGTTCTCAGCATCAGATCTCTGAAGATTTTGTAATTTTGGCCAATAGGGAGAACAAAGTAAGTCAGAAATACTTTTAAATCCTTTGTATGTAATTGTCTTTATGTATAAGCATATAATACGCAAATATGTTTGTCTTTGAATATGGCTGCAGACAAAAGCACAACCCTATGAAAGTATTCATTTTGTCTACATAGGTACCCAGTCTTACCCTCATGTACAAACGAGATTTGAAGAGAATTAATTATATTGTTTATCTTTTGCTTATTTGTTTTCTTTCTGGATTTCTCTCTTTAAGTTTTTATTGACGAATTTGCAACTTTTGGTTCTGATTATTTGTATAAGCTTATAGTTATGTGGGTATATATAAAAACACATACCATACTTTAACTCCAAATGATACTTTTTCTTTGTTGTATAAGTTAACATGAAGAAAATGATAAGGAGGGAAGTTTCTAAAAAGAGATCCTCTTTTTATTTTCTGTTCTATACTAAGACAAAAACATCAGAAAGACAAACGAAGCAGAAAACCTGTAGCCTTTTAATTGGTTATGTTTTCCTTTCTCTGTTTTTTTTGTTTTTTTTTTTTATCTAATTAAACCCCTTACCATAGTAAAGTATTTTTACTAACTAAAAGATGAGAAATCTGATTCAGAATTTTCTTGGGTGAGGAAAGAATTGTGGATGTTGGAGAAGGTCGGGCTAGTTTTACCAAATTTATTAATATAGTTCTGTCTTTGACTACATGTGATAGAACTTACGTCTTTTTATTTCTCTCCATATGATAGAAAGAAAACTTAATCACTGTTACAGCTTCTGGACGGGTGGTGAAAAAAAGTTTTAACCTTCTGGATGATGACCCAGAACAAGAGGTACTACTTTAGCCAAACATAACACACCAAATCAGTGTGTATTTACACTGTGAATTTCAAATCAGTGTGCCCCAGATCCTGTGGTAGATTAGGGTAATGGATTCCTTGCAGGCTGAATGGTAGGGTTGTGTATGCCTTTTTCACCAGAGCAGCCCCACCATCCTCTCTTTTCTTATTGGAAGTGTTCTCAAGATTTTGTTTGTAGAAAGGTTCATAAGGCCAAAATAACTTGAAAACATGATTAATTTAGTGTTTTGTTGATGTGTGTGTTTTCTAGGGAAATCACTTAATAGAAAATTCTTGAATTCTTCTGCTTTTATGGCTTTTGCCTTGTTTTTGTACTTACTACACATGAATAAGTTTCTTAATAGACCATTAGGGATGAGGGTATAGCAAATCAGTTTAGCCATTGTCCTCTCCTTGGCATTGCCAGCCACTGAACTACTCCAATTTTGTCTCTTTCCTTTAAAAGGCACTTGAAATATTATGAAAGCAACACTGATCATGCTTTCAATATGTAACCATTGCATAATTTCTAAATCCACTGAAACATTATAACTATATTGTTTGTGTGGTCATATTTATGTGTAAATTTTAAAGCAGCTTTCTTAGATTGATGTGGCCCAGTATGTGTAAAAAGGATAAAAGTTATTCTTTTGGTCCATAGAAATGTGTCAAAAGCAAAGTAGAAATTTCCCTATCCTGTGTATAAAAACATATTCAAGCCAGGCATGGTGACACATGCCTACAATCCTAGCACTTGGGAGGCTGAGGCAGGAGGATCACCACAAGTTCAAGTCCTGCTTGGGCTACGTAGTGAGTTTAAGGCCAGCCAGAAATATAATGAGACCCTGTCTCAAAAAAACAAAAAAAACATAATTTTTTTAAAAAGCATATTCAAGAAAGATATACTAAAATTGCCAAAAAGTAGCATGAAAAAGTAATAAGCGGTAGTGATAAAAAGAAAGATACTTCGTATCATGAGATTAGGAAAGTAAGCTTTTATTCTAAAGGAAAAATTGAAAGTGATTCTTACTAAAATCTATAAAATCAGTGACACTAAGGCAAGAAGTCACCCTTTGAAATTTGACCATGGTAGGATCGTGGGTAATGGATTCCTTGCAGGCTGAATGGTAGGGTTGTTTTCTTTTTGGATCATGGCAGAAAAGTGAATAAAAATGAACCATAGGTAACAAATCTATGTACACTTTTATGCCAGAAGGTGGTAAAGTCAGGAACTATAAATGGATTAAAGAATAGCTTGACCAAAACATAAGTGAAGGATTAGTGCATGGTGGTTAAGAGATACTCACTGTGCCTGTCTTGAAGGGTGATGCTGGGCACTCAGCTAAGATGTGCTTCCTGTGCTTCATCCGTGGCTGCCAGACACTGATCTGTTTCCTGTGTGAGGTTGTGGGCAGTTCCAGGGTCTTTTCCGTGAGACGGAATGCGAGTTTTGTCTTTCTTTACCATAGCTAACCCCCTTCACCCAGTCCCATTCTGTGTGTTGCATTTTTAAGTTCCCAGTGTTCCTCCTCAAGTATAAACAGTCATTTTTATTTATTCAATGAACCAGAAAAGACTTTGTAAAAACAAAAAGGATAGGAAATAGAGTCATAAATAGTATATGATGGTGTATCCGTCCTTGAAATGACTTTTTCTGGTGTAAGAACTCCTAGAGAGCAGTCCTCAGGTTTCAGATCTGAGCTTCTTATCTGAGAACTCCTGAACACAGGTCAGAGGCATCAGTTAAATACTCTTGAATTTGGAAAGGCTCTGGCTTGCTGTGCTTATACAGAATTTCACTTGTATTTTGACACCTACATAGACTTCAGCCTGCTTGTCAAAATCTGTAAGATGCTACTTAACTCCTTGAAATCTGAGGGCCTGTGTTTCTGTAACAAAACAATTAAATTATAAACATAGGAGTATCCCTAATTGAATAACTGGATTTGGCCTCTTTTCCTCTGCCTTATCCATCTATCCTCCAGACTTTCAAAATTGTGGACTATGAAGATGAGTTGGATTTGCTCTCTGTGGTAGCTGTCACTCAAATAGATGCTGAAGGAAAAGCTCACCTGGATTTCCACTGTAACGAATATGGAACTCTACTTAAAAGCATTCCACTAGTGGAGTCATGGGATGTGGTGAGTGGAATCCATGGAATACCAGGCTGGGGCTATGGTTCAGTGTAAAGTGCTTGCCTAGCATGTATGAGACCCTGAGTTCAGTACTTTGAAGGGGTGATGTTACAAAGTTATAAGAGTTTTCTTTGTGGGTTCCCTTTACTGGAACAGGTATTACTGTGCTCACATGAATCTAGACTCACCTGTGCCAATGATCATATGAAAGATGTTATTACCAAATACACAGGATAAAACTAGTTCTTCCCTTATTCTCCTCTACACAAGGGAATGCTTTCTAACCAGTAGCCTCAAAGATAAAACTTACTGTGTTTTCCTGAGACATTCTATTTCCTTATTGTTGTCTTTGATTTCCTCTCCAGATATGTTTGGTAACATTTAAAAAATGAAAGTATTAAAAAAGAAAGTATAATGTAATGAATCGCCATATTTATTTAATAAAGATACTATCTAAGCAAGTTGAGTTTCCAAGTTTTCATGGAAATTGTTGTCTGCTCTTCCAAACATTATGTAATACAAAAGTTGTAAGGACCAGCAGACATGCTACCCAGGCCTTGTTTTATCAATGGAGAAGCTGTTAAGTGTAACAGTTTACATAGGGTCACACAGTAAGATACATGGTAGCAGTACTGACAATAGAATTGGGATATTTAGACCCCTAAAGCCAGAGTTGTTTAAATTTTCTATATTTTGTACAATGCCTTTTTAAATTAGTAATCTGTATATCCACAAATAAGGAAAAATAAGCCTATTTTGTATTTCTGTATATATTTGAAGATTCCTAGCATAAGTGCTGTGACATTTTAGTGACACAACAGTGAATATGGCTCTGTGAAAATGAAGTTCCACATGACTGTGTTTTTGTTACAGACATATAGCCATGAAGTCTACTTTGACAGAGACTTGGTGCTACACATAGAACAGAAACCCAACAGGGTCTTCAGCTGCTATGCTTACCAGATGGTATGTGACCCTGGAGAAGAAGAAGAAGAAGAAGAAGAAGAAGAAGAAGAAGAAGAAACCCTAAACACAAATTGTTAAAAAGAGTGATATAATTGTAACTTACAAGACTGTTGGCCAAACACCTTAAAAACTGTGTCCAGTCCTCTTTTTTATTATCTGGATGGCATATTCTATAGTTTTTTTTTTTTCCAGAAAAGGTTTTGTATTAACTTCAAATGGCTAACATGAAACTCTTACCATGAAAGTTGGTGAGGTTTTTTAGAACACTGTCCCAAGAGGTCTAGCATTTAGAAACTTTTAGCTAGGTGCTAATGCAAATATAAAATGCTGAGGAACAGAGGAGGACAGGTTAATGCCAGAAGTTATGGAGGGAGGTCTTGCTGTGTAGAGGTTCAACATGGTTTTTAAAGGATAGTATGGAATTTTCATTGATAAGGCTAGGAGAGAGAGAGAAAAATAAAGATGGGAAAAATACAGAAAGAAATCTTATATTGTCCATGCCAAACTGCTTAAGAATAAAAAATATATAATGTGAAAGCCTATTTTTGAGCCTTAAAAGTGTGGCGTCACGGGTTTGTTTTTAAAAAAATATTGTATGTATTTATATATGTTTTATATTTGTGCATAATATTAAGAATTGGTACTAGTTCCCAAATTACCTTTTCTCCCGTGGTTCTATTCTCTTGGCTGGACATCCCCATTAAATATTTTGTGTTTCTATTGTAGGCTAATGTAAAAGACTAAGCAACTTTAAAGGAAAATTTTGTTCTTATCAGTAGCCTATTTACATCTAAGGATTTTGCTGTCATTCATCATTCTACTTATTTAATGAATATGACCATTTTGTTTAGGTGATATTTTCATAGGTGTACAAGAAAATAAAGGTAACCTGGCCTGTGCCAGTTCAGTTCCCCATAGAAAAGTCGTGAAGTCCCAGGAGGGCTTCTTCCTGGCTTGGGAATTACCTGATTAGCCAGAGAGTTTTTGGTTATCTGAATTATGAAAGGAGTGTTTTTTTCTTCTTTGTTAGGACAGATCTAAATATATACTTAAACTGCAGTAATCTTTCTGAGAATATTAAATGAAGGCAGCCTAAGGGAGAAAAATGTTTGTTTATGCTTTGTATTTAAGACACGAGTTGCTTGCAATCTACTGATCAACACATTTCTTTGATGTAGCGTCAAAAGAATAATAAAAAAACAGCAGTAAAAATCATTGCTGATGCAAGTTGAAGGTTAAAAGGTGGAATTTTAGCTTAGATAATTTACGTTAAAATCCTTCAGTTCAGGCTTGATGTCATGTTAAGAATTGATGTGAATTCTGTTCAGTTCTCTATATTTTGTACAGTGCTTCTTTCATTGTAAAATTTTTTTTTGAAAGTTTACAAATAGATTTTAAGCTTACTACAATCAGTAGGATTAAGGAGACTGTTTTAGTCAGGGCTTGTAAGAGAAAAGGCTTTATACAGGATGCATAATTTATACGATTATTTTAAAACATTTACCCAAAAAGTCAAATGCAGAAGAGTGCAAGAAATCTGTCCTCACACTAGAGACACAAAGAATATAGCTGAGGGCCTGGATCCCATGGCAATATCCTCCGTGAGTCCATTTGGAGGCCTGGAGCCCACAACAATGTTTCATGGAAGTCTATATCAAGGATCTGCACTGAGAAGGCTGGAAGGTCATTGGTGGAAGCTGGAAAGCCTGAGCCAGCAGGGTGAAGGATCTGCGCCAGAAAGCGAGGATCTGCCCTGAATCTAGGAAACAGAGCTCAATGTAAGAATTAGAGCTCTCCCGAAGAGAACAGCGACCATCCTTGGCAACAGTGAGGACCCAAGGTCCTCTGAGGATGGGAACACCTGAGTTTGTACCAGGAAAACCAGTGTGACAGACTTCTCCAGGAGAATCAACAGCACACCTCTCCAGCTCTCCTTTTATGCTGTTGGCAACAGTCATCAGTTCTGCCTTCCACACCCAGAGCCCACTGATCTGAGTTCGACTGGGTGTTACAAGTTGACCATTAGTTAATTCACCACAGAGAGAGAAGTCTTGTATACTCCAAAAGTCAAGGAATCAGTACCAGGGTCTGTAAAATTAAAAGATATAAAGGAAGCCATCTTTTGTGCAATAGAAAAAAAATTATGGGTTAAATATTCCTTATCTGAAATACCTGGGTCCAAGAAGGGTTTGGATTTAAATTTTTTTCCAGTTTTAGAATATTTACATGTACATAATGTGATCTTTGGAATGGGATCCCAATTTAAACATAAAATTCTTTTATGTTTCATATGCACCTTAAATACATACCCTAAAGGTAATTTCATGCACTAGTTTAGTGTACCTGTGTTTTGACTATGCCCCATCACATGAGGTCAGGTATGGAATTTTCCACTTGTGGCATCTTGTCAGTGCTCAGAAAGTTTTAGATTGTGGAATATTTTGATTGGGGATTTCCAGATTTGAAATGCTTAACCAGTAGTGACATTTAAGAATGTGGTAAAATATGTATGGACTAAAAATAAGTCTTTCTGAGTCTGATTCTATGTGTAATAATCATCTGAGAAAATAGAATTGATTACCTCATGAGCAAGATGATAAAATTATCTTTATATGTTAAATTCCAATGCTAATTGAAAAATCCATTCTCATTTTATGCTTGTTTAATAGTATCATTTACCATGTCTGAAACTTCTAAAGACATGATTATGATTACAGAGTAGTTGCATAGTTAGTGTGCTAAGTATTGCCAAAACTTGCTTTTTTGTTTTGTTTTGTTGAGACAGGGTCTCATGATGTAGTTCAGGCTGGCCTTGAACTCATTATGTAGCCCATAGCCCAGGCTGGCTTCATATTCACACTTGATGATCCTCCTGCCTCAGCTTCGCAAGTACTGGGATTACAAGCATGCACCACCACGCCTGGGTGATGCTGCTCCAAACTAATTTATATCTTGAAAAAAGCAGTTTGGTAAGAGGAGCACAATACCAAAGAAAAGAAAGTAACACCATGTAGGCTTCAGAGCAGGGGCAGTACTGTGTAAGAGCAGAGTGTCTGGTCCTAATTTCAGACATGTTTAGCTTTCCATCCTGGCAGAGACTGTTTTTTTTAAAGGTGACTGAGTTTTTCCTCCTTGAAAGCTTCACTGCCTTTTGGTAAAATGGTAGAAGGAACTCAGCAGGCAGGATGGCATCTAAGAACTGAGAAGTCTGGATTCTTTGGCAGGGGCAAAGGGTGAGATACTTCTGGTCTAAATGTAAAGTAACCATCTAGACCAGAAATTCCACTGCCGAAATTGAATAGACCAGGGTCCAAATGCCATGTGGATTAGGCAAGAAATATATCTAGTTTTGGGCAGAGTAACAGATAGGAGAGCTGTGCCCCAACTAAACAGATAAGCTGCAGCTACTGTACTCCAGCTGACTATAAGAGTGAATGGGAGTGTACACAGTTGTTGATTGCTAAAAAGATGCCAAAACATACAGAGGATAACAAAGGTTGTGGGAAATTGAGCTACGATAAATAGCAAGAGACAATACTACATGCTTCCCCCAAGGGCGGTGTCCCAGGGCCCCAGTGTCATGTGACCGTTCATTCTGCCACCTACCAGACGAGGGGCAGTAGTGATTAATATCTTCTTGACCTACCTTAACCCTTCTCCACCTGACTGTTTTAGTACTACTACTATTAAAATATTGCCCACCTACTTAACACATGCAAGCAACCGGCACAAAACATTATGGGTGACATTTCTAAGTGTTTAATGCAAGCCCAAGTGAAACAAGGTAACTTCTTTCAGCAAGTACAGACATTTAAGCTGAAAAGAAGCACATTTCTGTATTTCCCACCTTGATCTAAGTATCTTGCACTATCCCTGCACAAGCTTATCCTTTGCCTTTCTACACTATTTCTCACAACTTGAGAAAACAAATTCTGTCACAGTACTTGAACTGACAAGCACTATACATTCTTGAAATGTTTTATGTCTTATATTCCCTGGGTTTTTTGTTTTGTTTTTGTTTTTTTTTTGAGACAAGGTCTCACTATGTAGTTCAGGCTGGCCTTGAACTCACTATGTAGCCACTTTCAGTCTAGGCTTGACCTCACTTTGTAGCCCAGGCTGACCTTAAACTTGCGGTGGTCCTCCTGACTCAGCCTCTCAAGTCCTGAGATTAAAGGTATGTGCCACCGTGCCCAGCTATACACCTATTTTTTTAAAGTGGAAACTCTGGGAGGCTGAGGCAGGAAGATTACAAGTTTAAGCTCAGCCTGGCCAATTTAGCAATTCAGTGAGACTGTCTCAAAGAATAATAATAATAATGAGAGTTGGGGGTATAGCTCAGTACAAAGACCCTGAGTTCAATCCCGCTACCACAAGAAAAAGAAACATTATTTTCTATCTACTAGTTCCTGTGACATTTAAAATGAGATGTCTCATTTCATATTCAAAGTAAGCCTATGTGGTAAAAATTAACATTATCTTTCCCTTTTTAGAAATGATGGGAGTAAGACTTACAGAAGTTAATTTTCCTAAGTTCAAACAAGTGCAGAGATAGGAACACAAAGAGATTTTTGTGACAAACTTATGCCATATTTTTCCAAAGCTCTCAAGAAGCAGTTGATGTCATTTTATCTCACATATAGCTTACTGACAATTAACAATATTGGGTACATGGGAAAGTGTGTCACGTATTTTTTTTTTCAATCAACATACCTGAAGATTGAACCCAGAGCCTTGTGCATGGTAAGCAAGTACTTTTAACCACCGAGCAACATCCCCAGCCCCAATGTGTGTTTGAGGGGAGAGGGTGGTTTCTAATGGTAATGGAATATCCAAGTTTTGGACAGTTTGGCTAAGAGACAGTTACACATAACTTGACAGAAAAGACAATTCTTCATTCACTAGTTAAAAGTCATTTATAAATGATACTCATTTTGTTTGTAGTGACAGTAAATACCAGTATTAGTAATTACTCAATATAATCTGGCTTCCATTTCAATAATTGTTATATTCTTTTTCTTACCATGTAAGAATGTATAAATTTCCTGGGGGCTGGGGATTTAGCTCAGCGGCAAAGGCGCCTGCCTGGCAAGCGCAAGGTCGTGAGTTCGGTTCCCAGTACCGGAGAAAAACCAAAAAAAAAAAATAAATAAATAAAGAATGTATAAATTTCCTGAGTGTTTGCAAATATGAAACCTTGGAACACACAATTGTCCAGGAAGTTTTGTACTTCACAGAGTGGTCCATCCCTACCCATCTCTCAGGTAGAAGTATTGTTCTGATTCTTTTGTATCCCGGTTAAATTTGCCTATCATAAAACTTAATAAAACTTCTTTTAGCATAATGCTTTTGAGATTTATTCATATTGTAGTATGTGTCAATTTATTCATTTTTATTGCTAAATATTCTTTCAGAAGAATGTGTCACTTTGCTCACTTCGGCAGCACATATACTAAACATTAAATGTCACCATTTTTCTGTCTTCTTGTTGATGCAGACCTGGGATGTTTCTGCCTTGTTTCTTTTCACTTATGAATAAAGCTGCTATGGACATTCTTATAGAAATGTTTGTGACTTGTACGTATGTCTTATTTCTCTTGTATAAATTTCCAGGGGTAGAATTTTTGGGTCTCTTCAGTAGGTGTATATTTAATA